AAGCCTGTACCTTCTGGACTGACACAGCCAGGTACAGTGTGTTTTCCTCCATTTTTTCTTTAAGTTCACAAGCAACAAGCTCTCGCTTCTCTGCACGCCTTTAAAAAGAGGGGGAAACACTGGTAATGATGATGATGATGATGATGATGATGATGATGATGATGATGATGATGATGATGATAAAAAAAGTATGTGTCTTCCAGAGCCTATAGATGCTGCTTGGGTCCTGATAGTGAACATTAAAGGAACCCAAGCTTCTCTGCAGCCTCCTTGTATCACATAAAACAAAACAAAAAACCCCCCACAACTCCCTGAATATTTTATATAGCCCTGTATCTTTTCACTTTTTTCATAACATGAGATGATTTCTTCCGATCCTTACAAATCAATATGCTACTTGATAAACTTTATATTTTTTAGCTAACCATATAAATAAATTTGGCTACACTTGAAGAAGGGACCTTTTTGGCCAAAAGTAACCTGTGATTAAGTTGTGCAAAAGATCCCATCAAACGATATGGCATTTTCTTTCTGCATTATCTACTGCCTAGTCTTTAGGATTGCAACGGGAACTTTTAGACAATCTCTTGCGCTTTTCACACCGAACTGCTATCCTGTTTGCATGCATGTCAGAAGATGCACTTTGTCACGCCAAGGAGTTGCCACTGTGAAATGTTGGAGGAATCTATTTTTATAATAATCTATAGGAATTGCTCACTCTCCTTACAGGATAAAGTAAACTATTCTCTTTTGTTTTGTTTTTTTCTACTCTTCTTCCCACTAGGAGCCGTTGCCCTTGACACCCCCCAGGATTCTGTTCCAGTCAGTTCTGTCTCTGTTGTCCCTCCTCCACCTCCGAAAAATGCTGCACGCATTCTGGCTCTGGCCCTGGCTGAATCTGCCCAACAAGCTTCAGTTCAGTCCCAGAAGAAACCAGATTTTCATTCAGACTGTACCAGCTGTGGGAAAACTGAGAGTGGAGGAACTGTAGAAAAGTTCCACCCATATCCTGGCACTGCTTCTGAAAGGCTTCAGTTCTATGTTGCTCCGCCAGAGAACCAGCTCAGTTTTCAGATTGTTGTACCTGGGGATCATCAAAGAAGTGGATTGCCCATAGATCAGGGACCCCAAAGCAGTGGCATGTCTGAGGACAACAACCATCTACACATTGGCACTTCTGAACATCGTGAGCACTCCACTCTCTCTAATAATATGCCAGAAGACCTTCATGGTGGTACTAACATGGGCTGGGACCACTCCCACTTCTATCCATGTACAGTGGGGGACACACACCCTCTTATTCAATCTTTTGCATCAGAAGATCAGAGTCATCTTCATTCCTGTACTGGAGGATCTGTTCAGGCAGAGCCATCTACAGCAGAGGTACCAGTAGAGAGTCCTCACCTTCATGCTTGTGTCCCTTTGGATAAGAACCAAATCCAGGCCAACAAGCTTCATTTTCCCATCTGTAAAGTGGATGACAGACTTCCATTTCCTTCGGTAACTCCTGGGGAGAAAACTGTCCCTACTGATCTGGCCTGCATGATAAAGAACCAGTCAGCAGCTACCAAACCTAATCATGGCATATCCAGGCAGAATGTTCCTCCTCAGCCTTCCACAATCACCAGCAACACCACATGGGGGGAAGCAGCTCTTCTGGCCGCTCAGCAGGCTCTTGCAGGAAGCCACCAAGTTCCACCCATGAGACCAGGAGACCAGCCAGCTGTGGGACAGACTCCTCCCACTAAAGTTTCAGGTGGCTTCAGTCAGGTAAAACCTAAGTGGTCTAGATGTTGCCCTCTCTTTGCCCTCCTCTTTGTCCATTATAATTCAGGGCGTCTACCCCTATCCCCGCCTCAGTTTACTTGATTTTTACTTGGCTTCCCTTTCCTATTTTAATTAATTGTTTTTCTTCTGCCGATGTTCCTTAAGACAAGCATAGGCAGGTCAAGATTTTTCCAGTGTCTTAGTTGCTCCCAGGAGAAAATGGAACATTGAGATTTTGGTTGCAGATCTTGCCTAAGAAAATGATGGTTAGCGAGGATGCTCTGATAGAAATGTTCTAGGAGTAGTCATAGAACATTTCGGTTTTCTTTGGATAAAGTTTAGGGTTGTCATAACAACCTGTAGCACAAAGTTAAGTGTAGCAGTAGGTGGTGCTATTCTACCACACATTGGCTAGCTAGAGTAAGATTATTAATAAACAGCTATAGTTCTTTTCAACAGGGACCTGCTTTGAATTAAACCATTCCATTCCTTGCTTGGTCCCATTTTCATTAATGACATGACAGTAGTAAATAATGCATACCGTATGGTTAATGAAGGATACGTGAACATTGCTAAAAATTCAGATTTTAATTTTCTCCCTCCTACAGGCATACAAAGTACTGTATATTGGCAATATACAGCTGAATACTTGGAAAAGCCTATATTTGTATAAGGTCATCCCATATTTGACGTATTAATCCTTTGACTCCTATTTTTATTACATTTCCTTCCTATTCAGCTGTATATTCCTATTGGCAATATACAGCTGAATACTTGGATAAGCCTATATTTGTATAAGGTCATCCCATATTTGAAGAATTAATCCTTAGAAATTGCTTGACTTCCTATTTTTATTACATACACAAGGTCTTGCCTGTAAATAAATCACCTGCCAACAAAAGTTGTACTTCTTCCTCGGGGGTTCAGCAAAAGCTCTGTTGAGTTGCTAGTTAAGAAACTAGTTTGGTTTGTAAGTGAAGTCTGTATTCATCTCAGCAACTGCTTTGGGACTGTAACTAATCTATGTGTTTTCCTCTATCAGGTACAAGGAGACGCAACTCCAGACAAATTGCTGGAGCCTAGAACAGCTGAGCCTGCCCCCATCTTGGGTACTGAGGCCAGTGCTACAATTCAGTGCACTTCAGCCACCCCAGTGGCTCTGTTTCACCAGGGGCATCTGGAGAAACCCCGAGAAAATACCAGGGCTCCACCTTTACAGATGAGGTCTGAATCTGTCCCAGTTCAATCTTCATATGCTTTTATGCCTCCAGCACCACCTGTGAGGACAATGGAGAGTAAACTTGCAGCAGCCATGCATTCCAACAGCACAGATACTATAAACCCTGCCAATTTCATGGCTTCTTCCTCGTTGCCTCTGTCAGCAGAGGATGCTTTGGCACCACCTACCCTGTCTAAACAAGCATCCCTTCAGTCTGCCTATTTCACTCCCTCCAAGTCAGAGAGCCTTCCAGAGCCTCCAGGGAGTGTGCATCCAAAGCCTTCATCGGCTCATCAGTACAGAGCTGAAAATAACCAGCCCCACCTTTTTCACAGCAAGTCTGAGCAGCATCCAGGCTATCCTTCTCTGTCGGAGACCCCCCCTTCCGTGGGATCCCGATATAATGCATATACCGGTCAAGGAAAGAGCGCGTATGTTCATTACTCCAAGCCTCGCAGTCGGGTCGAATATCTGTCTTCTATGAGTCCAACAATGAGGAGCAGTAGCTGTACAGAGGAGGCTCCGCCCTATCCCACCATCCGAAGAGTGCATTCACTGCACGTGTCCACTCCCTCCGCCATCCGATCAGTTCCTATATCCCGTACTGAGGTGCCTCCTGATGATGAGCCCCTTTACTGCCCAAGGCCTCTCTTCCAGTATAAGCCATATCAGTCCCATGCAGATTATCATGTCACTCAGTTGCAACCTTATTTTGAGAATGGCCGGGTTCATTACCGATACAGCCCTTACTCAAGTTCATCCAGCTCTTCTTGTTACACTGCAGGAGATGGTGGATTTTATGACTTGGATCCTTATGGTACAATGAGAGCGAGGCAGTTCCATCCTCTCCCAGGCAGAGATTTTGCATCCTACTCAAGGTTACAGACCAAGAACCTTTATCGCTGTCCTGGCTTACCACCATATTCTCGGGGAGGCCTTGCTGGAAACCTAGCAGGCAAAGAGCATAGTTTCATTAGTAGGGATGTGCCACCTGCCCCTGATGTCAAACCCATGTATGTCTCCTGGGATTTGGAAGATATGGAAAAATACTGCATGCAGTCCATCCGCCGAGAGAGTCGTGCTCGTCAGAAAGTAAAGGGGCCTGTCATGTCTCAGTATGACAACATAGCCCCTTTGTTGCAAGATGAGGTACGGGCCATGGACATTGTTCACTTGCGCAGCAAATCTGATCCTGGGAAAACTGGACTCCTCACCGTTGCTGAAGGGAAAGAAGGAAGATACCCAGGCAAGGGAGGGACACCCGAGGGAGAGGAACGCTACTATGGACCCCAACCAGAACTTGATGTTGACAGAGCCCATTACCATGGGAGTTATGGGAATGGACAGTCAGACAGACCTTTGCTCCCTCAAAAGCAAAGCAGTCTCAGGAGCAGAAAACAGCACGACGTTGGTTGTAATTCAGTTGAGCACAGAATGCACCTTGCACATGAAGTAACCCACAGGCAGCCTCTGGATTCTAAAAATGCCCCTCCCTATCCTGATTACCGACCAAAGGGCCACCAGTCGGAACCAACAGAATCCATGACGTATCAGCACTCGGGTGGAAAATATATCCCAGCTAGCCATGATGTATTGAGACTGAACCATAAAGAGGTGAAGCTGGCAGATGATAGGCCAGATGTAGAACGGGCTCGATCAAGACTACCTGCTGCTACAGCCGAAAAGCACTCCAGAGACTGCTACAAAGAAAGCGAGCATTATGGACAGCCTGCAGGGCCACCCCCTAAACCAGAACGGAGCCATAGCCTCCGGTTCCAGCACTCTGAGAGCACACAGCGGGACGCTGGTCTCCTTTACCCATACCAAACCCTTGGCAAACGCCAAAGTACTACAACTGTGGTATCCCAGTATGATAATTTGGATGATTACCATACCATGCCTCAGCACCAAAGAGGGGGATATGCTGGAGGAGGGGGATTTGTACCTCCCTTTCCTCATCCACATAATAGGACTTACGCCACAGCTTTGGGCCAAGGAGCATTCCTACCAACAGAGCTTTGCCTACAGAGGCCAGAGACTGAAATCCACGCAGAGTGAGCTCGGGGGCAGAAGGGATAGAGTGTAAGCAGCCTCTGCTGGACAGTGGACTGGTTTATTTTTTCAATGATGCACAAACATGCACACGAACACACAAAGCAACTCCTTCCATTAGCCCTACTGAGTTTCTGCCTGTGTAGTCCTCATGCCGCTTATAGTTTTTATATACTAAGTGTATAATTTTATCCCATTGTTTAAATGTAGGTTGCAGCAATCATACAGGCTTTTGTTAAACTTGAAGACACAACCAGTCTCCAGGAAGATCAGAATTAAGGATGAAGAGACAGGGTTGTACTGTGAATGATTCTCAGTTTCCATAGATTTCAAATCATGGCATTTCCCTTAGCGGTCACTGTCCTTCAGAGCCACATGCATGATGTATGTATTGATAGGCTAATCTTCTCCAGGCAAAAGTCCCTTGTATGTGATCATTTAGAGAAAGTTTTATGGAATGCCAAGCTTTAGTAAATATTTTAACTTGGTCCTTTCAGGTTTTATGCCTCAAACTCTGGAAAAAAAAAAAAAAGATTTCGCATTGTTTGTTCTTCTACCTTTAGTAGTACCACTACTTCTTAATATCTTTTTCTCCTAAATTTTACTTTCAATATTTGTCAAGATCCAAGCCAGTCACAAATTGGGCGACTGGTATCAGTAAGAAGGTGGTGTGATCTCAGGCATGTTACTTGGTCTACTTTCCCTGAAGAAATCTGTAATAAGCTGCTTCAGTTATTTGAGAAGTTAAGGGTGGGTAGGTAGGGAACCATTAATAGGTTAATAAGCTTTGCTTTCCTGGGCTTAGCAGGTGGTGCCTGTATTATCTGATAAAGGGAATCTTCCTTAACATCTTTTCCATAATAGATGTGTATCTTGCAAAGGCTTCTGAACAATGGAATTTCCAGGGATTTTCTCCTGAGTGAGAGCCATTGAAAAGCCTGATGAACAAGAGTGCTATGCCCTGTTCCTTTCCCCAGTAATTTCTGGCTATAGGAGAATCATGGTGCATTTCATTGTAGGCATGGAAATTTATTTTAACTTGCTGTTAAGTAGCCTTGCACCTAGCCTAACCAACAATGGTCCAGAAAATAATTCCATATTTGTGCCTGATAATTCAGTTGGTGCTGCTTATCTGCTGATCATGATAAGCTCATCATTATGAAGTTGTGAAGGTTAGGTACTGCAGACCTAGGAAAATACCAGTTGGTTTGATGGAAAGGACAGTAAATACGTCATAGTGCATACACATCTGTCTTGTAATGTTTATAAGGTAGGAATGGGTACCTGGGAGCCTCCAAGTATTTGGACTCTAAACGCCCATCAGTCCCAGCCAACATGATGTTGGTAGCAGGTGATGGAAAATAGCAGTCTGACAAGAAGTGGGGGACTCCAGGTCCCATGCTCCCTCATGCTGTAAGGGAGACCCATGTGCAGTGCATGCCGTGTGATTGTCTCTCAATTTTTTAATTTTTTAATTTCTGTTTTAAGATGCCTATTGAAAGGGGATAG